ATCAGAATTACCTATAGAACTTCTTAATCATAGTTATATCCAAGTCCTATGCCTAGAGGTTATTATTCAGATGTTAAGAGGCAGGTCTAGGCATCTATACACTAAAAGTGTCAAATTCGACTCAGCAAGGCAGCTAGAATTGAGAAATACTGTTATAAAAATTTCATGGGATGGTTCACATCTTCTCTGTTTTACTACAGCAAAGATACAGTGAGAAAAATGGAGATGGAGTGTTGGAAAGAGAAAAGGGAGTATGTTACCTTTGCCATCTGGTTTTTGAGATGAGAAAGTGTTTCAGTCCAGGGCTAGGCAAAACTGTAATATAAACCAAGTTTACTTTCATTATTCCTATCACTTTTTTTTCCACATTTTTCTCTTATCTCTTGGCTTTCCAACTGTTTTCTTGACCTCCAAAGTATTTGAGGGTACTCACGTTGCATACATCCCCACCCATTTCATCATATCACTCAGTCCTGTTTCCTCCTGCTTATTCTTTGCTTTCCCGACAAGCAAAACTCCCAATCATCTATTCATTCAAGTATGCATCAGGAAAGTAAGTAACATTAAGATATTACTATTAGCTTTCCCTACTGAAGCCTAGCATTGTTTGCCTTATCATATCAATGATTCTTGATGGGTAAGATATTTTTGACAGGAAGGCCTTTCCAGTTTACTATCCCTATAGAGAGGGAAATTCAGAGTTTATAGCTGCTGGTCACAGTTCTCACAAACCTTTCCAACACTTTTTCTTATTTAAATCCTGTGGCCTAAATGTCCTGCAAACTCACAGTGAACAACAGCAACTTCAGAAGAGAAGACAAAACTGCCTTTACCCAGGCAGGATACAAGACTAATGCTTGAGAACCTGTTAACTGAGAGGCTTCCATTTCTAGTGTGCAAAAACGTGGAGGTATTCTCTTCAACTAATTTTCTTAGAAGACTCAAAGATGATTTTATGAATGACCAAGTACTAAAGAAAGAAACTAAGAGAATCAAGAAGAGATTTTGGGAAAATAGATTAGGGAGTAATCTTAAATGTGAAAGGAGGTCAATAAAAATCATGCCTTTTTACTGACTGAAATGGACATTAGGATTATTATTATAATTGCTTCTATGAAAGACAGGAACAAGAATAAGACGTGGGAAAGACAATTACAATGAGAAAGAGTGACTATGAAGTCAAAGAGGAAAAAAAAGTTGATTTTAAACATCTATCACTGCATGCCTTTGTTTATTCTGCCTGCAATACCCTTCTTACTTCCTTGTCTGATTAACTTCTACTGAATCTTTCAAGACACAGTGGGTGTCACTACACGGGAACATACCCTCAACCCCTCACAGACAGAGTTACATGCTACTCTGCTGTAAGGTAACAGATGTAATACAGTAGTTGTCTTATGGCAGCTATTATACTATTTTGAAACTAATGTTTGATGATAAAGAAAATAAAGATGAACACTAGTGCCATATTTTACGTTCTCTAAACTCTACATTGAACTGCTCAACAGTTCACTAAATTTTGGTTTATTAAAAGAAGAATACCACTGCCTTAAGCAAGTATTAACTATTTAGTACTGAATAAATAAAATACAATATATTAAATACCTTGCAAAATGAAAAAGACTAAAGCAACATTCTCTGTGCTGATATAGAAAGACTATCAAAAATACATTATGTGAAAAGAGGTGATGAACAGTTTATACATTTGTTTGCCCACAATATATAAGAATATAGAACGTGTATATGTAATTTTTTTTTTCTTTTCTGGAAAGATACACAAAAAACCAACATAGGTATGGGGACTTACTTTGTATTTTCTTTTCCTATGTAATTTTGAATTTTCTATTCTAAATAGTTTTTACAAAAAAAAAGAATGTTTTTTAAAAATTACTAATAAGGATTATCTGGTTCCTAGGATTGAGGGCTTTTTAAAGAAATTATTTAAGGGTGAAGATGATGTCTCATTTTTGTATCTCTACCTCTAAGCACAGAGTGGAACACAGTTGGCACTGATGATATTGAACTGAACTCTGCTTGTCATCTATTTTTCCTATCTCTTTCCATAACTATTGACTTTTTATGAGCCTCTCCCCCATTTCCTATTATTTTACATAAAGTACCAACTACAGTGCCTTGAAAATAGTAGTTGCTCAATAAATGTTTGTTCAGTGCAATCACATACTCTCTGAGGTGTGTAAAACTCAGCTGCCAAGGCAGGAAAGCAGTGATTTTTTTTTTTCTATTCCTAGTTACTTGATTTTAACACACATTACACAAACATTCATCTATTCAATCATGTTTGAGTGAATGTGCTTAGTACTGAAGATACAAAAGTGAATGGAATCTGTGCCTCTCAAGACTAATCAATCTACCAATTTTTCATTTGCAGGAAAGAAATGGCAATGACAATATGTGGATACACAATCTTGCTTCTGTCTTCCTTTAGGTTTTTCAAAGGCCTCTCTAACATGCCCTATTCAAATTCATTTTTGTTAGAATACATGACCAATGAATATTTGCTAACAGTTTAAAGCAACAATCTATTAGAAAAGGTACTGGAAAAATGATTTAAAATGGATGAGCAAGGAGTAACTAAATTTCTTTTTTCAATCCTGGCAAGTAACTTCTGCTACTTTTTTTAAGTACGAGATTGAAGAATCAAACATTAGATAAAAAAGGCACTAATGACACCTTCTGGTTACCAAAAAATAGTCAAAGTCACCTAAATCTGAATCTATTTACGTATTTTACAAAAAGCAGACAAAAGAGAGATAAAATTGCTCACAATCCACGGCAACACAACAAATTTTAATTTAAATATGTTAGGAAAGACACTCTCCTAAACCAGCAGAATGAGCTCCGGGGATCACTCCGGAGAAAGAGTAAGGTGCAACTGTGCAGAAAAGAGTGTGCGAGAGAGTAGAGTATGCTGCCAAAAAAGACAGGATCCATCTTTGGTGGGAAAATCCTGAGACTTCACAGTACAGAGTGATGGCTGCTAAGGTCCAGACCAGAGATGAGAGTCTTAAAAAAGTACCGTGTGAAGAGCAGAGGGAGGCCCCTTGGAATGGGAAGGCATCCTTGGGGGCAATGATGATGAAGTGAAAGAAGGAAGCAGGCAACTGAAATTAAAGATCTTAAAATGTAGGGTAAGGATAGTGACTCTAATTTTTTTTTTTTTTTTTCTTTTTGAGATGGAGTTTTGCTCTTGTTGCCCAGGCTGTAGTGCAATGGCTCCATCTTGGCTCACTGCAACCTCTGTCTCCTGGGTTAAAGAGATTCTCCTGCCTCAGCCTCCAGGGTAGCTGTGATTACAGGCACCCACCACCATGGCCAACTAATTTTTTTGTATTTTTAGTAGAAATGGAGTTTCACCATGTTGGTCAGGCCGGTCTTGAACTCCTGACCTCAAGTGGTCTGCCCTCCTCGGCCTCCCAAATTGCTGGGATTAGTGTCTCTAAATTTAATGACACACCAAGTGTCTACACCTGTCCCCAAATTGAGCCATTTATTAATTGAATTTCATTGTACCTACAGAACAGGAAACTCTTGAACTAACAACCAAATAATAAACCCCAAAAGTAAGCACTTACCTACATAAATCTTACCCTATTGCCAATTAAGGAAAATAATATACATATAATATTTAAAAAGCTATAGAACTGTGATTGCATTAAAGTATTTTTTCATTTATTTCAGAAAAGATACATAAAAATTCTATAACATAATGTAAATACATAGGCATATAGTTTAGTAGAAACAGTTTTTTTTTTTTTTTCCTATTTTTAAGTTTATTTTTTACCCTAATTTTTGGTCTTGAAAATTAGAAAAAACTGAGTTGGTAATAATAGCCTGACAATCATATACTCTCCATCTAAATTAAACTAGTGCTAAATTTTTGCCAGTTTGGTTTCTTTCATTCTATCTCTATATATTCATAATTTCACTATTTCATACTTTTCCTAAAATAAAAATTTCAAAACACCAACATAAAATAATTATAATTTGATTAACTGTATTTCATAAAAATTTTTGCCAATTCTAAACATGGCTTCTGTTCCACCTTGTCACATTTCAATAAAATTAAACAATTACAATGTTTACCTCCTGGGCATGACTAAACAAGAAATAATTAAAATACATTAATCTGGGTTTTAAAACGAAGAAAAGATCAACCAACACCATCTTAATGCACACAAAAGTTGGTAACCTAAAAATTCCCGATCTAAAGCTCTTAGCTAGGACACAGATAAAGATACCATCAAACTAACATAAAAACGAACTGCTAATATTAGTATACTAAATAGCCACCTAATCTGAACCAGCAGTTTTGAAATCATACCTTACAAAATCTTATGGAAAGATTTAACATGCAAAATGGAGCAAACAGAGGTATTTCAGGAGCTGCTCTGAATGAATACATGGGGTGCTTCAAATCTTGCAAACCTACTCCATACTTTGCTCATCAGGCACCTTCTAAGTACAAGTAGCATAGTTTGACTACTATTATTTTAATGCAATCACACAGTTTTACAGTTTTCTAAAATTTTGGTATGCTGACTCTTCAAAACAGAGTAAAGAACATTTTCTTTTTTAAATATCAGTATTCCTTCAGAAATGAAAAAGGCTTTGGAAACAAAAGCAAACTTTGAAATTCAATATTCATAACAAAATAACTCAGTTTTACTATCTCAGTAAATGTATACTTCACAAATATTTTGAAACAGAAGTTCTCTAAAATATGTATCACAAAAAATTTTCAAATATTTTCAAAGGCTTCAGCACTCATTAAGCCCATTTTATGACCAGATAAACTTTAACAAATATACAGGTGGTGATGCATTAAATTTCAATAACACTGTAACACTAAAAGTGCAAGAAAGTCAGATGTTATCTTAAATGCTGATCTAAATCACGGTAATGATGAAAAAATGGGGAGAAATAGAAAACAGTCATTATGCTCAAATGAATAAAAATTGTGATACATAGGGAACTTGTACCTTTATGCTGGTTTTCAAATTCTTCAGATAAGAGGTGGTAGCAACAACCCACACTGCAAACTCCCTTGATTTCAGACTTGGAGGTAAATATTCTCAAAGTATTTGGAGCCAGATCACCACAAGTGTGTAGACCTACCATCAAACAATCCTTTAAAAACACAAGAAGAAAAATAAAATTTGGTAATTGAAAAGAGGGTTGTTTAAAATTTTTATTTATTTTATTTTTACATATGGGATCTTGCAATGTTGCCCAGGCTGCACTGTGGTGGCTATTCACAGGCATGAATATCACGTGCTACTGACTCAAATTACTAGCCTCAAATGATCCTCCTGCTTCAGCCTCCCAAGTAGCTGTGACTACAAGCACATTGTACCACCCCCAGCATGAGGTGAAGATTTTAAACGTCCATTACAATATGTAAAGGTGTTAATAATGATCAAATTCTACCTAGAAAGTATTCCATGTTTTTATTTTCATAACTATTTTTTTACAGGCAAAATAACTATGATCTCTTTTCACAACTTTTTTTTTTCAGTGATTTTGCTTATTTACCTGTTTATATTTTCTCTCATTTTACAACTAATATTTGTTTAACAACTAGACAAAGCAAAAATTGGACTAATCAAATGTAACATGTATTACTAGACCAAATCTGTGCTTTGTTATATATTTATGTCACACTTTGACCATAATATTAATTTTCTAAATTAATTTCACTTCTCAGATTGCCCATCAAAACCTTATAAAATATTGTTATAAAAAATAAAGAACTGTTGTAAACTTGGTATTTCTACTTTAACAACAAAAAGCTTAGTTTATGTACCGCATCAAATATGACAATATAAAATTTAATTAAAAATTTTTTTTCAAATTTTATAACATATATTGTATTTAAAATTCTCCTATGAAATATTTATTCTAATTATCCAAAGCCTAATTTAAATGTATACACACACATACACAATGGGTACAAATGTATACATGCACAGAATCTTGTTCAATATAACAATCATTTTGAGGCTGAATTTACTAATAATACCTTTCTGTCTTTGATACGACTCATAAAAATTTAGTTAAAGTAGTACTAAAAAGATACTTGTACAGAAAAAAAAATTTATACAGAAAACCTGCACCCTATTAGAATCACATACTTATACCATTTGGAACTAAAAAATTTCTAATATTAACCTCTCAGTTTTCCAGATGACACTCTTAAACCCTGATAACGTAAAGGTCACGTTTTAGTGTAAATCTGTGAATATAGATATATTAATTTCCAGTTTTTTTAAATTAAACCATCATGTCTCTCGAAGTATTCTCTAAAGTTATTACTCATCAACTAATTTTAGTTGGTACTTTACAATACCAACTAAAATTTATTTTAAAGCTGTAAATTAATTAAAGATACATGTGTTTACTTGAGATGTTAAAGAAAGAGTTATTAATGAACTAATTACATAAGCTGTAGTACAGTCATTAAGAGCACAGTCTTGGGAAACAGTCTGTTTAAATTCAAGTTCTGTCACAGTGTGATTTGGAAAGCATTCAGTTTCCTCAACTGTAAGATGGAGATAATAACAGTTCTTCATCTCAAAGGGTTCTTTCAAAACTTAAGTAAACTAATCCCTGTAAATGACTTAGTACACTACCATATAATAAAATTCAGAAAACACTGTCCATTTTTATCATTACAATTTACTTTAAATTACAAATTCAAAATAACATAAGCATTAATTTGTGTCTCAAGTACATTTTTATAACTATCGTCAGCATATAATTGTTTCACTAAAATTTTTAAAAATTATTTCACTGAAATGTTATTTTAGCCTATGTCCTAGACATAAAAGAGAGCTGTAATCAAACTTACTAAAGAAAAAAATTATGCCTGTAAGTCGTTTTGACCTGATAGAACACTCAGTTTCTTCAGGCAATATCCATTTCAAAGCAAAGTTTTTAGAAGATTATACAGCTACTCTGCTTTTCTTGATGATTAGTTTAGATAGGTTTTATTTAGAGATTATGATGTCATCAGTAAAGTTAATTCAGACAAGAAAGATTTATCACTAATTAAGGGTAAAGTAACAAAGCTACAAATTTCTCTCTTTAAGCTTAATTTAGCTCTCACTAAAGAAAATACAAGAACATTTAACCTCATTCTTTATTGTATTTATCATACAGGATTAGTTAATATTAGCAAATAGCAGCTAGGAGACAAAAATATGCAATCACCGTATTATCCTACTAGTAAAATATTTAAGTATTGTGAGAGGGTGAGGAGAATAGAGGGTGGTAGTTAATTCTGTTATTAAATTGTGATTTGCTATAGGATCCAAGAACATTCTTCCTGTATATCTTATTTTAGATGGTTCTTACAAGAGTTTGTATATAGTTTTGATTATATATTTTCAGAAAGATTTTGAGAAAATTAGAAGGTGACAAAATGTACTAGAAATTTACATTTTTTAAGTTAAACCAAAGTAATTGGGATTGTTTAACCCTAAGAGAAAGTCTAAAATAGCTTAATTACTAATTTCATGTATAAGACAAAGAATTAATGAAGGTACACTAGATTTCCTTAAATCCAAAAATATCTGGGAAAAAGAAAAATTTCCCATTTAAAAAACAGTAAAACAATGGTCAGCTATCAAACAAGGATTTAAATTCATAAAGAACTCTAGTATCTTTTAGTTACACATTTCTTTGGGGAAAAATTTCTATAAAAAAAAAAAATTACAAGGGTAATACAACTCCAAAAGCTACCTTTTTTTTTTTTTTTCTTTTTTGAGACAATGAGTGAGGCCAAATGATTTCTAGAATCTCCTCTATAATACTGTTTTAACATGCAACATTGCCTTTGTTTAAGATCTGCTGTCTTTCAATTACACAAATTGACATACTCGTAATTTAGAAAAAGTTCAAGCTTTGAAGAACACTTGGAAGCTACTGTTGCTTAAGGAAATTACATATTGGCAAGTGCAACATTGGACATTACTTTGTTCTAGATGCCCCTTTACTTCAAATTTAAGTTAAAATTTAATTACTTGTTTAGAATTTTAACAATTCCTAAACGCCACAATGAGAACTTAGTTTACTTACTAGTTTTGGGCTAGGATTTCTATTTGATTTAAGAGGTTTGAAATGAGTGGAGGATACTCTATTCTGAATAGGCTCATGGCAGATTTTGATGGGTGTGGGAATAACGAAAGCCTACTTATGCTTTTATTTTCTTGGTCTGTTAGATTAATGTGATCAAGTAAGATATGTATGTTAAGTAAGCTACTATTAAAATTGAATACAATGTTTTTGTACATCAAATTAAATAATTCAAAAGTCAAGTCACCTCCAAATCTTTAATAATGTCATGGAGTTCTGAATCAGCAGTGATAAAAGAGGTTAAAGGTGAATATACATTTGATTCACTTGACTTTGATGTCATTTTTCTTCTCTCTTTATTGGCTTCAGATGTTTCTCTGTTGGGTATTTGCTGTGAAGAAGTAGGCTCTACGGCATTAATAGGCAAAAGGTTTATAAGAGAAAAGGAATTTTCAAAACACAAATTTTCTTCTTGATGTGGTTGAGAATGAAGGGTTTGCATTTGGTTTCTGATATTAGAAATTACAGAGCCAGAAAAATCAGGCGAAATATCTGAGGTAGACATCTTTTCTTGATTTGTAAGACTGTTGTTAAACACTTCCTCAATATCAGCTTTATTTTTAACTTCTTTTTGCACTTTCCTTTCTTTTGCCATTTTTAATGCTAGTCCATTGACATCTAATCTTGACTGAGCATGACAGAGTTTCCAATGTTTCTTCAGTTTTCTGTTTCTCTCCTTAGCTCCATGAGTATTAGTATTTGAGGAATCAATTCCATAAACTTTAAAGCCATACTTCAAGGACAAAAAGGAGCTTAGATAGCCTTTACCGGAACCCAAGTCAATCACCTAAAGTTAGAAAAAAAGAGTAAATTAAATAATTTTAGGCAAATGGTAATAGAAAGGATTTTAGATTTTTTAAACAAACAAATGAGTTATGTAACTTAAATATTACTTTAAATTTTATTTGTTTTATTCCTATGAAAAACCAACCAGTCATCATTTTTATTCAACATTTTACTGGAGGTTATAGCTAGTATAATAAGTCAAAGAAAAGAAGCAAAAGAAATAAATAATATAAGAGAAAAAATAAAACTCTTTTTTTATACATAGATGACATAATCATGTCTGCAGAATATCTTAAAGAATATACAAAAAGCTAACAGAATAGTAAGTGAATTTAGCAATGTGTCAGGGCACAAAGTCAACAGAATTAACAATGAATCATCAGAACATATATAATATTGTAGCAAAAAACAATTAGGAGTCAAACTTGGTGGCTCAAACCTATAATCCCAGCACTTAGGGAGGCTGAGGAAGGAGGACTGCTTGAGGCCAAGCATTTGAGACTGCCCTGGCCAATATAGCAAGATCCCGTCTCTATAAAAAAATAGTAAAAACTAGGAAGTAAAATTTTAAAACAATTAAAATAGTATAGAAATAGAATATATAGGAAAAAAATTAACAAAGGATGTACAAAACCTATACACTGAAAACTATAAAATATTGCATAAAAATCTAAAAAATTGATATAAAGAGATATACCATGTTCATGAAATGGCAGACTCAGTACTAAGATGGCAATTTTTTCTTCACATTTCAACACAATCCTGATTAAAATCCTAGCTAAGCTTTGTAAAAAAATTGATAAGTAGATACTATAATTTATAAAGTAAGGCAAAAATGCCTAGAATAATGAAAACAATTTTGAAAAATAATAAGGTTGAAGAATTTTACTAATTCAAAAATACAAAACTAAATCAGTGTAGTATAGCTACAGCTGGTATAAAATTAGACACACAAATCAATGGAAAAATGGAAAGAAACAGCTGATATACAAATAGAAATATAAATCAATGAGAAAAACACAGTACAGAAATAGATTCACACTTATATGATCAACTGATTTTTGACAAAGTACCCAAGATAATTTAATGAAGAAGATAGGTTTTTCAACAAATGGCGCTGGTATAACTGGATGTTGATATTAAAAAAAGGAAAAAAATTTGCCTGCTATAAACCAAACACAAAAGCTAATTAAAGGTAGATCACAGATCTAAATATAATTGAAAAAAATGTCATCTTATGGAATAAAGCATGAGAAAAATTGTGACATTTGGATAGGCAAACATTTATTACGTAGGACATAAAAATCAGGAATAACAAAAGAATTTTAAAAATGGACTTTATTAATATGAAAACTTCTATTCAAAAAGATAAAAATGAAAAGAAATACTTGCAAAACCTTCATCCGAGAAAGGACATATCTAGAATAAAGAACTCTTACAACTCAGTAAGAAGACAAGCAACCCAGTTAGAAAACAGGCAAAATATTCAAACGTACACTTCACAAAACAAGATATACACATTGCCAATGTGAAAAGATGACTAATATCACTAGAGAAATACAAACAACCACCACAGTGAGATACATGCAGATGTAAAATGGTATGGCCACTTTCGAAAATATTGAGTTTACCATAAAGTTAAATATACACTTTACATATGACCCATCCATCTCACTCCGATTTATCCAAGAGAAATGAAAACATGTCCACACAAAGGCTTATATGTGAATATTCAGAGAAGTCTTACTCACAGAAGGAAAAAAACAGAAACAACTCAAATGTCCATCAACTGGTAAATTAAAAAAAAAATAGCATATCTAGACTATAGCATATGGCATACTCCTCAGCAATAAAATGGAACAAGGCATTAATACACAAAAAGATATCAATAGCTCTCAAATGCTGTGCTGAGTGGAAGAACTGAAATGAAAAGTCTACATACTATGATTCCATTTGTACAATGTTCTAGAAAAGTCAAGATTAAAAGTAGATCAGTGATTCTCTGAGAATGAAAGAGAAAATATCCTACAAAAGCACACAAGAAAAGTTTTTAGGAAGATAGGAATATTCTTAATTATGCTAGTGGTTACATTAACTGTTACAATTACCAAAATTTATCAAAGCTAGAGTTGGTGAATATCTAAATTACAAATTCAATACAACAAAAATAAGAATAAAAAGTTACAAACATTATTATTGCCATGCCATTTTATAAAATAAATGGAGAATTATAGAAATACTACCATAACAAATCATTACCTACTCTTATACATATCTTTAATTCCTAAAGTCAATGAAATCCTGACATAAGTACGAGTCACTTAAGGAAACATTCCTATACTTACAGTAATGCATATCCTTAATTAAATCCTCAAAATGTTTCAAGGTCTTACAATGAGACCAGTTCATAGGAAAAATTCTAGTAAATAATGTCTCATAAATACAAAATAAACTTAGTAATAATTCCCTATACTTCCATTTTATGTTATTATTCTAGGATAGGTATTGCAGGGAAACATAGAAGAATTATATACAGTCATGCATCACTTAATGATGGGAATATGTTCTGAGAAATATATTAAAAAATTCTGTTGTTGTGCAAACATCTTTGAGTGTACTTATGCAAACCTACATGGTACAGCCTACTATACAACTAGGCTAAAAACCTGTACAGCATATTACTGTACTGAATACATAACAAAATAAGTACTTGTATATCTAAGCATATAAAAGGTACAATAAAAATACAGTGTTATATGTTATGGCACTACCATCTTATATGTGGTCTGTTGTTGACTGAAATGTCTTTATGCAGCATACAACTGTAAATTCTTGACTTTGAGAAACTACAGTCTAACTGCAGATACCATATCATACTCTTGCAAGGGCTATATAGTAGAAACTTTATTATTTAATTGGTTTTGTCTTCAAACTATCTGATCAGAATAGGAAAATCCCCGCCATTCTCATCTCCTGCCCCTTCCCCACAACAGACTTCCCTGCTGGATCATATGCCATACATCATAGGTTTGAAGACAGAGTAGTCTCTAGTCCAGTATCTGGTGGGAGGGATCTTCTCGAATCTCCCAACATTGTTTAGGAGACTTTCCCACAGAAACATTGTTACAGGTAGTGGTTAAATCTTGTAATAACATTAGTATGGTACTATACTTTGGATAGAAAAGATACATTTTGGTGACAGACCTAGAGATCTAACTACCATTCCAACTAATGACTCTCAAATTTGTAACTCTAGTTTGGAATTCTTCCATTAACTGATACTCATATATCTAACAGCAAACCTAACATTTTCATTTCAATAGATGCTTAATAAGCAACTAAAATTTAATATGCTTGAAACTGAGCTTTTGATATTCTTTTTAAACCTGCCCCTCCTAAAATTTTCTCCATCACAGTAAGTGATATCTACATACCTCCAGGTAGAGAACAGGACTCCTTCTGTCTCTCATAAGCTACATCTGAATTGTGAGCAAATTCATGATCTCATCACTTACCAGAGCTACTTCATACCAACTCCATCCTGAGTCTGATTAACTGCAATGGCTTTCTCAGTGATCTCTCTGCTCTCACCTTTCCCCTATCACTGCATTTTCAACAGAGAAAAACAAAGTCCAATCATATCACTACTCTTAGCAAATCCCTCATTGCCTCTTTGGCTTTATCTCATACTCTTAACTCCTATGGTTGCTGAGTCTTTTTGCTTCAACTCTGGAAGCTCCTGCTCGGATAGGAGCTAATTTTGCAAAGTAACCAGCTTGAATGTCCACAAAGACTTTGGTAAAGAAAAGAGGCAAATATAGTGGAAATATGTGTTTCGTAATACAACTCAACAGAGTAGAAAGAATGATTCAGTGGCTACAATGGCTTCCAATCTCATTCAGGATAAAAAACCCAAATTATCACAATGACTTCCAAGACACTGCAACTTAATGTCCTGTCCTCTTCCACCACAACCTCAGCTCCTACTACTTTCTGCTTGTTCAATCTGACTTCCTGGATGTTTCAGAAACAAAGTAGGCATGTTCAGGGCCACTGAACCTGTTGTTCCCTCTCTAAGAAAAGTTTTTCCTCTAGATCATCTAATGGATAGCTTACCTCCTGAAGAATTTAACTCTATTACCGTCACAATAAGGTCTTACTTGTCCTTCCCCTCTGTATCAAAAACTTTATCCCTAGATAAGCTCCTCCCTTTTGTTTTAAGTTTTCTTCTTTAAAAATGTATCAACATACACATTAAAATACACATATAACCATTTTATTGTCAATCTCTCCTAATTAGAACATAAATGCCACCAGGGCAAAAGTATTTCTTCTTTGTTTTGTTCACTGATGCACCCTCAGTATAGAAAATAATGCCTGGAACATAGTTAAGAGCTAAGAAATATTTGCTAAATGAATGAATGCATGCAAGTATGAATGAGTGAACATGTTTTAGAAATAAAAATTAAGAAGCTTTGGTAATGTGAATGAAAGAGACAAAGGTGTTCAGCATGTAGACAGCAATATGGTTGAGATAAAAATGATATTTTTTCTTGTTTAATTTTCTGTGGTCACCAATAAGGTTATGTATTTCAGAATCTGGGTTTCTACTTACCTCATGAAATTTGTATTTACTAAATCTACATTTTAAAAATAATAATAGTTGGGGACTTCAACACTTCCGTTCAGTATTGGACAGATCATCCAGACAGAAAGTCAGCAAAGAAACAGCAGACATAATCTGCATTATGGACCAAATGGATGTAACAGACATTTGCAGAACATTTTACTCAACAGCTGCATGCTCTTCTTCTCAGCACATAGACCATTCCCAAAGATAGACCATATGTTAGGACACAAAATAGGTCTCAAAAATTGAAATTATATCAAATATCAATAACAACAGAAACTCTGAAGAGTATAAAAACACATGGAAATGAAACAACATGCCCCGGAATGACCGATGTGTCAATGAAGAAGTTACAATACAAATTTTTAAAT